TCTTTGTATTAGTTAAACATTATTTCAGGGAACCTCATTATTGTTCGGCGATCGTCATATAATTTTAGGATACTTTTTTGAAGTCTCGTGAGCTTTAAATAGTTCAGGGAATTATGTACAAGTTCAAGAACTTCCATACGTGGAACTTCGCGGAAAATCAACGAGAAACGTAGAAGTGCAGCAAACTTTGTAGAAGTTTTGGGAGTTTCGTAGCATTTTGAGAAGGTGTATAAAATTTCATATAAGTGCATGGAATTTTGTAGATGATATAAAAATAGTTCAGCATTTTTCTAAGATCGTCAGCGATCCTCGCTTCAGTTAAGGGAACTTTGTTGCAGTTTGTCATAGATCTTACCTCAAAAAGCTCAATAAACTTTATTGGCGCGTTTATCGTGACCAACTGGGTTGGAAGTGGACTGTATTTCTTTTGGATTGAAAGATTCAACACACTGATATCACCTTAAAGTAGTTATTCTAACTAGTACACTAATTCTCTACAGATTGCTTTCTAACTTCACTGGTCGGATGTAACTTGGATGGCGGTCGGAATAATACTCAAACGCCGTAGTATCATAGAGGTAACTCTAAGACTAGAAGGTCCCAAAATAACGTGCTCAACTTTTTGGCTCAGCTCTGGTACTCTCTTCGGTCCCAAGCTAATCGATTCACCCCTCGAAACATAGGAAACACCAATAACCCCTCATTTTATCTGTCAAAATTTCATAGCGAATCAAAACAAACATTGCGTAGTACTAGAATTTAGACTAGAATGGGGTACGTTAATCGTTTGCTTGGGACCAATAGGCTAGTCAAGTAGTGAGCCAATTTAAAATCGTTAGTTTCGTATTGATTGTTGGTAGTATTACGAGCAAAACTACGTTTATTTCTTTTAATTATGATTTTACATTGTTTTAACATATTAATTGATAAGCCTATCAGGCTCTTCATCTTTGTTTAATTTGTTATTTTAATTTGCGTGTTCACGTTTTTCAACTAGTCTACAGAATACCCCTTTGGGGTTCATTTTTGGTTGAATTGAATTTTTTTGATAACCTACCTAACTTTGAATAATTTATCCTAATACGCAAGATCGCGTATGATATCGTGATTAGATCTTAGACAGGCGTCTCTGAACCTTTCGAGGATGAGCGTACTCCGCTCCTTCAGTGTCTGAAGACCAGCCAGGTGGTGTATCGCAGAATTTTGAGTCCACGGGGGACTCTTGAGGATCATCCTAAGGATCTTGTTCTGGACCCTTTGGAGTTTGAATTGATGGCACTTAGCACAGCTCTCCTATATTGGCGTTCCGTACTCAATGCCGGGGTGGATGATTTGCTTGTGGACGGCAAGCTTGTTTTTAATAGAAAAGGGTGGACTTTCTGTTGATAAGTGGATAGAGCGACCTAATCAATATGTTGCACTTGGTGGATGATTTGTCCACATGGGAACGGAACAGCAACTTGCTATCAAGGGTAAGACCAAGGTAGATGACTTCACTTGACCATTCAATGGGAGTATTATCAAGGTGGACTTTTAAGTTACCAGGTGGGACAAGCCGAGGTGAATTGGAGTGCGGAAATAGTATGGTTTATGTTTTAGCTGCATTGACACAAATCTTCCAGCTTTTGAAATAGTCAGACAGAACATCCAGGCCTGATTGGAGTTTTCTCGTCAGAACCTTTAAGAAGACCTGGAATGATCTGCCCGACAAGTAGTTTTTGTTGATCTTGACAAGGAAGATCGGGAAGTTGTATCGATGCAGTTGTTGTGTTGTCATTCCTGAAAAAACCGACGATCCAAGTAATTGTTTACGTTTCGAGTTAGACCCTTCTGACATGTTTCCCCTGAAATGTGCTGTCTTACTTAAGGGTTCTGTACACCACCAGAGGTGCAAAAGGGCCAACGTGAAAGACGTCCATCCTGGGTGGCTGCTCGGTTTTGCCTTGACTTGGGTTCAGGTCAGAGTCCTATCGACTTGCTTAATTTCCTTGTTAAGGCTCCGCCGCCATGAGCCCCTGGGTCTACCTCTGCTGCGATGTCCTGCCGGATTCCAATCCAGTACTTGCTTGGATTTCGTTTCCGTCCCACCGAAGTGTGTGGTCGACCAACCTCCACTTTCGCTCTCGGATTTCTGTTGCTATCGGCTTCTGATGATATCGACGATGGAGCTCGGCATTCGAGATCCAGGGGTGAGGCCACCAGGCACGAATTATAACACCACAGATTTCACGTTCAAGTTGAAAATTCGGATTCTCCATACGTTTCGTAAACTCGCAAAGGCAGCCTTAGCTATTTGGCTGCCAAGATATTTGCGAGAAATCGACGGCTAGTCATTGTTTACAAATGCAATTACGCCCCTTTGAAATGTTGGCATCTATATAGCTTCTCCTAGAGTCGGTGTATAATGAGTCACGCCAAGAGTGAAGCCAAGTCTACCTATTGAACTGTCAAACCGGCTACCTATCGTGCAATGTAAATAAACATTACGATGCTATGAAAGGTCCACGAAAGGTATTGCAATAATATATAAAATATAATCGAAGAAATGAGCATAAACACGCAGTGAGCGTTAAATTGTTATGGGATACGCTCGGTAATGATTAGTTATGAGAATTTCTACTATTTTTTGTTAAGATAATTTGACAAAATCACTGATATAATGATTTACTACAGCCGCAATATTTTTTCTCTCGCTAGAAGTCATTTGAAGTTGTTGTAGAAGTCCTCTGTTGCCAAGTGAAAAGAATGGGAATGTTTCGAAAACCGCGATGCGAGTTCAACTGTTTTTCTCTTGGCGTGACTCCGAGGGGGGCGACACATCTAAATCTCGATTCTAGATGCTCAAAAAATCTCACACTAGCGAATAAATCTTCTTTCATTTCTCGCATCTACTTGCATCGCGCATCATTTTTTTGCAGGAAATCTTCAAAATCGTGATAAACCTTCTTGCTATCTACTCAGCGTACGTGCAGCTAGCCACAGCAAAACACAATATTTTCTGCATCGTAGATAGAGTCGCCCCCTCGGCGTGACTCATTATACACCGACTCTAGCTTCTCTCTTCTCGTACGGTGTTCTCCAATTCGTCTACCTGGAGTGCGTTGTTGCCACGATGGGTGGTTTGGGTGACGATCGTTTACGTTGTGTTTTGGAAGCTACTATGGCTTGTTTCATACGAAACTAACTTCATGGAAGTTTTAGGAACTTCGTTAAATTTTAAAAAACTTTCCAGATGTTCAAGACTATTGGTAGATGATAAGGGTCTTTCCAGAAGTTCAAAGATGTTCAGATATCTTCGTAGAGTTACATGTAGATGGTAGAATTAAAAGGGATGCGAAAAAATGGAATTTGGAATAAATTCATGGAACTTCGTAGAAGTTAAAGACATTTTTGTAAAACTTAAGAGAGTGTTGTAGATGTTCAGGGAAAAGGTTACAGGATATTCTTTCAGACATCCATCCTAGACAGCAGGTAATATTCAAAAAATCTCCAGATAGACGAAGATATTAGTAAAGTTCTTTGGATATTTTTTCAAGACTTCAGGTTGGTCAAGTTCTGAAGATCTCCGTACAGTTATAAAGTACAAATGACGTCCCCCTCCAGTTAAATTTTCAAGCTACGCCAATATTAAATTTAATTTGAATAGTCTTACGATGTAATCCGATTTAATTTGTAATTTGAAACATAGCATATAAGCGAAGACTACAAATCAAGAAGACTGGCAACTCTTCCATTTTCTCATACGAACGCTATGAGACAGGTACAATCGCGTCATCTGCCGCTCAAAGGTAAATGCTTCGAACGAATTTGATAGAAAAGATTACATCCTCCGAAGAAAGGTTTGTGTATTTGCTCATTTTTCTAAGCGTTGCTTCCACCTCAGGCCAGTGACAAGGCCTTTACCAACAGCAGCGTTTGACAGTAGGCAGCATGTCCCGGGTTCAAATAATTTATTTTGCTGTGCTGGGCCCGCTGTCACTGTATAACATGTTGCCTACGCGCCTGCCACTGGGCTGTTCCACCTTCACTCAATGATATGCTGTCTTCGATGTAAGTCATTAATTTTCACTCTGTACGATTTAACTTAAACATAATGCGGTGTATGACATTCTTTTGCTGCGGAAACACTTGCATGACAATCTATGTACATGAGCATTATTCGTATAATAAATTATGAGCAAATGCAATAACTATACAAGTGTGATCATGGATGTGCTCATAATTTGTTATACAAATAATGCTCATGCTCATAGTTGGTCATACAAGTGTATGAACGGCATTTCAGTTACTAAAGCCACTATCATGTAGGGGAAGATTTTCCCTATCTGATGGTTGTGTTAGCATGCGTGGGCGAGCTACCAGTTACGCCAAATCGACGATCAAATGCGTTGTTTACAAAAGCTGATACGTCCCTTCGAAAAAGTAATCGAGATTTGCACCCCTATTCTGTATTTCATTTCAAACGAAATTCTCATACAAAAAAATATTTTTTTGTATGAGAATTTCGTTCGAAACGAAATACACAATAGGGGTGTTGATATTTTTCCTGATCGATAGGCCAAAAATAGGCACTTAGTCCGAAGTACCCTATTTCCCTATTTTGTCCCTGAATGCACATAAAAGCTGACAAAAAAGGTGCTTACAACCCATAATCGCTATCCCCACCCTTGAGTGCACTGAAACTCAAAACATGCGTTCATCGACCGATGAACCGATCCATGTCCCCCTGTCGCAGCGGATGATACTCACGTTTATGCTGGCAAGAGCCGCCCACCCACTCGGTGCAGTCGATCACAACAATCTAGTACTACCTCCCTTCACGTCAAAAATCGTGAGAAACGTCACCTTCGGGTCATTGTTTTGATTATCTCACCCTTGGACGCTCTCTCACCAACGTGCGCTCTCGCTCTCTTTTTTCTCCGTTTTGGTTTGCGAGTGCGACGAAAGCACCGAAAAGAGAGTTCGCCCGCCGCAGCTCAAGTTTGTCATTCGCAGTTTACCTCTCGCAGAGGACAGTCTGCGCCAGTTTGTTTACATTGTTTGCGGTGTGAGTGCGGATACAGAAGAAAACAGGAAAAGAACATATTTTTTTTTTTACATTTGAGAAAAAGTTAAAACTGTTCTTCAAAATCGAAGAACGGAAAATTTCGGATAATTCCGTCGTTCAGAAAGTAGTGAAATTGATAACGCTATTGTCGTTTCAAAGTGACGTCGTACGAGCCAAGGAGTTGGAGTGCTTGTTGGATGCGGTTCATTGTTCTCCTTCCCCTAAAATAAATTGGGTGGAAATTGAAGAGGAGTGTTTATGAATTCGATGAGCGTTGTTTATCAGAATAATTTGTGCTGATCAAAGGTGCAAAAGTAAAGAGTGTAGTTTGTTTTTTTTTTGTGCCAATTGCAAATACACACATACCCACACGCACACTACTTTTGCGAAACGAAGAAAAGAATATGTAAATTTAATCAATTTGCACAGTGCCACCACACAACAAGTGCATACGAAAGTGTATGAAAGAGTTCGTTTTTATTGATCGAAAGTAAGCCGGAGTCCACCACGGTGTGTACCTCTATTTTTTTTTTGTTTGTGCTGCGGCTGCTGCTGCTACTGCTGTTGTTTGGCTGTTTGTTCCCGTCCTGCGGATTGCTGCTACACAGCTGAGCTGCTCTCCCTGCTACGAACCAGGTTTGTGATTCGTCATTTTTGTTTTTATGATATCCTACCCACTTTTTGGTGGTCCTCAATCCTCTCTCCGTTTGGATTATGCTCTGCTGCTATCGCAGGGAAAAATCGAATTTCCATGTTTTCATGTTATTTTGGTGCCTTTATTGAGAGGTGGTGAAAGGCGAGTTGGTGAGTTGGATTTTTTGTTTGTTTTTGGGAGATGCAAACTTTGTGCAAAATCATTGACCTGGTAAAATTGTTAGTTTCCAATTTGGGTTGTTTATTTAAGATCCTAAAACAATATTGATACTGCGGCTGCGGAGAATCAAAAAGTATTAACACGCATTTTTATTAGCAATCCTCTGGTTTCAGAACTAACGTTCTTATTGAGTATCTGCTGCTATTCTTATTGAGTGTCTAGACATGTCTAGCCATGGCATTTCCAAGCATGAGGGATGGGTTCAATCCCCAGTCCATTCTAAAAAATCTCGGGCTCTCTCTGGGCACAGCGTATTATTGTGATTGGCATAGAAAGGTCTCAATTAACAACAAAGCGAACCAGCAAAAGGCTGTGCAAGCCTCTTTAATAAAGAAAACTTAACTAAACTCAATTAACAACTGTGGAAGAGCATTAAAGAAGTTGAGACCAGACAAAAGCACGTGTAAGAGCGTCAAAGTCAGGAAGAATAACAAGCTATGCTGTTATAAGTGCCTTTCCAATGCAGGTTTGGGTCGATTCGGTATTTTAAAAGTGTAAATTGATATGATTAGATTTGCAAATTTAGATAGATTTTTATCACCTTTTGTTATAGCAATCCTCAACGTGACAACGACTGGACTGCAAGCGCAGTAGTTCCCATTTATCATAGCTACGTTAAAAATGCATGGATTCTCATAATCAGAGCAAATTTATAATATTAAAATTGGGACACTTTGAAATGTTTTTTTTTATTATTTGAAGCTATTAGTTTTCACTTTCTATTCTTGATTCTGAAAATTATATTTTAGACTTATATGATGGTACAAAATTTAATTTCTACAAGCTCGGAATTCTTAACTTTCTCCATCTTCAATATGTTTAATTTATTTTGTATTCTAGTAACTTTAACATGCCCCGTAACGTGGGTAGATCACCGTTTCGTGGTACGTTACGGGATGTAAGATCTACCACCGATTCCTAGTCCTGACTATTTCAAACTAGGAGAACAGGATTTTTCAGTAATCCAAGGAACACATCTTAGTCCTTGTTACTTTTTATGCCTTATGTAGTGACAAGGCTCGGCTTTGTCTACCAAGGATGATCTTGAAACAAGGAAAAAATGAGTTTGTTGTCTTCATCTATGTGATTCCTAATCTTCTATTCGTTGTTCCCTAGTTTGAAGTGGTTAAGGCTAGGGTTCTGATGCATGGTCATTATCGGTGTCATACCTTAATTTTGTTGCTACGGAATCCAATTTTGACTGACAAAGGGGCGTGCCTTTGGAGGGTGTTTCAACACTCCGAAGGGTATAAATAGAGGGACATTTCAATTAGAGTAGGATCCTTGCGATAAATGCAAGAGTGGCAACTGTAAAAAAATCGAATACTTCATCATTTCTCAATAGTGATGGAGTAATACGACATGTACTAAAATAAGGACACGGGATATACTACAATAGACCAATTTACTTACTGGTCGCAGTAGTGTTAGGTCCCGAACAGAGGAAAAAAAAACTAACATATTTTCGTTAATTCGTGAGATTTGAACTCTGGGATATTAATATTTTTTCACATACAAATTTGAGATCTCACTGCTACACTTTTCAGAAATTTCTAGCCCCATAATCATCAACAGTTTGCTTCGGCCAGGATCTTGATATTTATTCTCAATCGAAGTCTCATTATCTTGAAATATTGAATTGAAAACAATGCCTGAATTTTTTTCTTCTTTGCAGTGTGTCTCCGGATGTAACTTTAGGAACGATTATTCTAAAATTTAAGTTACAATTCTTACATCTTACAATTCTCTACGGTATTTGCTTCTCAATAACAGTCAGGGACGTAGTCAGGGGGTGGCGAAAACGTCCCTCGCCAAGGGCGACAAAAGCAAAGGAGCGCATTTCAAAAGTTTATGTCTAGGGGCAAAACGGTTGTACTCAGATTTAATATTTTCACAGTGAGCAAATTTGAGTAACTCATATTTACTCAAAAGTAATCAAAGTAGTCTCACATTCGTCAAGAAATTAAAAATTAAATCAGCATAAACATACATACAGGGTAATCCTATCCGTATTTTATTTTTTGTATTCTTGCATCAAATGCTCATTAATCCGCGTGTTCTTCTTTTCAGTATGAATTCTTCTTTTTTCTTCTTCTTTCCTTTATTTAACGTCGGTCTCTATTCCGCAATCTAGTGCCAATCACCGACGGACATCGATTGCCATCCATTGACGGCAATCGAATGTGCAGGAAGGCAGCTTCCACACCTGCGTAGGATATCGCACCCATTCACAACACATATGGGCCGGGACCAACAGCTTTACTTCCCTTCCGAAGGAAGACGTGACCAGAGATTTTTATGCCTTAGGATGAATTACGTGGGCAATAAAGTTGACAAATCAGGAAAAGATATTTCCGATATGATCCCGAGAAATGATCCCGTTATTTGGCGTGCTTTATTACGAATTTCCAAGGGTGTGTTCTTTCGATGGTTAATTTAGCATTCTATTAGCAGTTTTGGTATTGACTCTTATAATGATCATGCATTGGAAAGTGTTGATTAGACCTATTTTTAGTTTTAAGCCTGTTCAAGATTTGACCAAAAGCAAAATTGGTGAAGATCAAGAATCTTAACCGCTTCAAATGTATCTAGAGTAACATTTGAAATAGGCCTATGTCCAAAACGTAAACAAATCGGGTTTTGATACCATTCTTTAGCACCGCTTGATAGCTACTAATCGTGTAGGAAAGTTCCGCATAATCGAGAAAAATCATTAGAAATAACTCGATTTTCGAAACGGCCGATCAACGAAATTTTTCGATTCATTAATAGGCCTGCACGCTGAAACGGCCAACCATTCATTTATTTCATTTCATTGATAAGCCTAGTGACGTAGAAGGGCCGATGATTGAAAAATTTCTAACCAAAGCTAGGCCCTACTGCTTGATTTGTTTTGAATTTATTTGACGTTGCGAAAAGGCTTAGCAAAGGGCCTACCAGGGCATGACAAGCACAACGGCTTAACAAAAAGGACCTATCCATTGAAAAATTCACAAAAAAGGCTTATCAATTTATGAAATTATATTGTTATCGATTTTCATATATTTTTGAAAGCTTTTCGTATATTTTGGATGTTGTATACTGAGATACAGTTACTATTGTTATTGTGAACAATATAAATGCCTAAAATACTTCAATTTTCTTAAATATGAATTGAATAGTGGCGGTCAAAATTTAAAATTCGTTTTCTGGTTTGTTTACGTTTTGGACATAGGCCCATTTCAAATGTTACTCCAGGTATGATTTAATTTCAGCATCTTATATAAATAAGTTAACACGAGTTGCGAATTCTAGTTTGAATTGTTCTGATAGAGCAGTATTTTTTTTATATTAGAACTAGTCAATGATCTTTCCAATAATCTTGGTTTAAACTTTGTGATACTGTAACTCCTAAATGATTATTTCTCTCCAAAGTCGCAAGTGCAAAAGGAAGAGAAAAACTACTTCATTTTTCATTTGTGAGCAATACAGTCCTGGATTCATTAAGCCGTAGTCTTTGAAACCTCTGCCAAAATGTGCATCATCAATACGTTAAATTATGTCAACTCCATATTCACTTGAAAATCCCATTATTATCATCGTAAAACAATGATAAGCATACACAGATTTTGCAGGCTGCAACATGGATTTTGTGGATGGCAATCCGGTATGTAATGTTGTTAAATGATGAACGTATATTTTCCTCGTCAAACGTCTTTGCTTGACAATCGTGGAATGCAGTTTTCATGTAGTTGCCATTGGAAATGCACATGATTTTCATCCATAATCAAATTCAATGGAATTCATCTGAATTTCACATAAAATTTATGCTATCACATTAACTTTATGTGATTTTTCACATGAATTTCATCGGCCTCATAATATTCATGTGATTTTGTGATGGGATTTGCTGCTAAGTGATCATAGGAAAGCTATGTGAAATTCACATGGATTTCATCCATAAGATATGTGATAATTTTTTTGAGTGTGGTTTGACGGCACGGCGGTTTTATGAGGCTTGTTGTTCGTATGTGGCTTGGATGCCTTTCAGGCGCCTTCCCTCGTTGGTGAGGATTGGCATCCCAACAAACAATTTTAGCTGCAGATCAGCTTATACAGACAAAAATTAGTTGCATAAGGCAATCTTCGGCTGTATAAGCTAGTCTGCAGCTAAAATTGTTAGTTGGGATGGCCTAGGACGATACAGGAGTGATGAGAGTGACCCGTTCCAAAAGGGGAATGCTCCTTTTCGGTTACCTGAGGTACAACCTGAGATTTAAACTTCCTTCGTGGTCAATAGAATTGTTCCTTGATTGCTGATTGTGGTATATTATGTAGCTGCTGATTTTAGGCCAGATTAGGTCAGCTCTGACCAGCTTCGTGGAGTTTGTTAAGGTTCAACAATTAAATTTGTATTCTTAGAACAAGTAAACAAATTATTTACCCTTTGTGGAACCTTAACATTAATAATCATGCCATGGTTAACAACCATAAACAGTGCCGTACCGTTTTTGGAAACACGGGCCCATATGTTTATCTCCTCAATTTTGTGCCCAGAGCACAACATTTCATGAAATATCAAGCGTCTAATCCCTAAAGAATGATCGAGTAATGTTATAAATCGAATGGAGCTTTCGTTGAATTTATAGACAGCATAACATGCAAAAATCATTTGTTACCAATAATGGGAAGGCACTGTATTCTTATCTTTTTGAAAGTCGCGCAGCCTGTATGTACTCTATTATTTTTTATATATTTGTGTAAATTACGTTTTCATTGAGTT